TAGCTTTGCAGAATTTTCCAATTACACTGAAAATAAATAAACAAACAAACAAGCAAAGAAACAAAAATAAACAGAAAAAAAAATAAAAAGAAAGAAAAGACAACCAAAAATCCCACAAACAAACAAAGAACAAAAAACAAACCAAAACTAAACAAGCTAATAAACAAAAACCCCCAAACTAACACAAAAACTGGGAAGGTTGAAAAATTTGATACTGAGTTTTGAAACTGAGATCCAATTTAAGTAACTTGGCTTATGAAAGAATATTTATGCTGAAGAGTAAACTGCAAAACACTTTTGTTGACCATGTGGCAAGTTACAGGCAAATACAAACAAACAAGCAAGCAAACAAAAGGCCCCATACAAATAAAGAACCAGACTTGATGTTCCCATATATTTGACTAATGTCTATTGATTCTTATGAAAAGAAACATATCATTTAGATTTTTCTAGATATATTTATATGTTCCAGAATAAATTGAAATAAATTTGATATTGAGAAATGTTATTCAGTCTCTCATGAATAGTTAGCAGGCTTGTTTCTGACTAAAGAAAGGCTATATTATTCATCTGGATTCATCCTTTTTTTTTCCCATGAACTTTTCTCAGTCCACCCTTTTTGGGTGCCTCAGGATTTGATAATTCTCAAATTAACATAGTTGGACAGTTTCACATGGGAGCATCATGAGAACTGGGCCCAGTAAAGATTTGTATGCACAAATATTTTTCAGAATTACTCTCAACACATAAAAATTCAGTTTTTATCTTCTCTAACAACTTGAGTTTTGAAACCTGTAAGAAGAAAACAAAATTCTTGTGTTATACCATTTCATGGTTGTTTACTCATCTTTTAAATATTTTCATATTATATGTGTGTGTGTGTGTGTATATATATGTATATATTATATACATGTATATAATCACTGTTGAAATAAAATAGCAGTTACTTTGTATCTTCCTCCTTATTTTCCTTCTCTCTTTCTAACTTTATAAGAATGTAGATCTGTTCTAACACTACCTAAAATGGTGCTTTTATGCCAGAATTTCATCTCAGGTGCAAAGAATTATACTGCCACAGAATTTTTCTCTGAAGACAGTATCTAAATATGAATTTATTGATTCAAATTTATGGCTACCACCTAAAAACGAATTTCTTTGAAGATGAAATCAATTGTGTAAAGAAACTGTGCCTGTTAGAGAACTTTTATTTTCTCTCTAAAATTCCTGGGGAAAAATTATAGCAGAAAATTATGAGATATGCTCAATGAAAGATGAAAAATACAATGACAATAAACAGCCAATTTATATACTTCACCAAAGGAATCAATTTATATGTAATTTTTAACTTTAGATTCAATTACTGCATCTTGAAATTTTGTTAGGATCCTTATATCTACTCAGCAAAATAGAAATCATTTTGAAAAACTTACTCCATATTTCCCTTAAAATATGGGTTTTGGATTTTCTTAGGTTTTCTTACTTTTACTGAGATGTTTTCCCTTAAGACATGAAAAATGACTTTCTAACTTTGAACTTGCAATCTGAGTCACAGCAGGGCAGAATATAAAGCAGCTGAAAACACATGTGTGCATTCCTTCCCCATGCAGAATTCTTTATTCTGCAGATTCCTGTCACTAAAGAATTTGGCTAAATACAAAGACCCTCAGGTAGAAACAGGCTGTAAAGAGCCACCCAGTTGGTGAGTGAGCTGGAGCCAGCCAAGCACTTGTACCAGTAATCTTGGAAAGGCCAGTAGTTAACGCCTCCAGCTCAGGCTAGGAAATTGTTTCTTGGACTACGAGCAGATTGAAAATAGTAAGATAAATAGAGGAGTGGGGATATGTGTTAAGATCTTCTGTCCTGTTAAAATTAGCAAGGATGCTTAGTGTTTTATTCATTATAATGAAGAGATCAGCAGCTGAGGCATTCATCTTTGCAACATGAATATTTGAAATATTATTTAATGATGATATAATAATGTGAGTCATTGATAGTATCTAACTCAGTTCAATTTCATTAACTCTACAAGTATAACATTAAAATTGGAGACTTTATAGCAAAATATCAAATGTGAGGTCAAAAAATGAAGGTGAATTTCAAGGTCCCAGCCCACATCCTATTCCTATGATTGTAATTTGCACTTTTATAGTACCCTTGAATCAAGGACTGCTCAATAATTTTATGAATATATCTAATATTGTGAAGCTTATAGGCTGTAGTAAATTTATACTAGCATTTGGGCCATCTGTTCAGAGTTCTGGAGTTTTCCTATTTTATGTTTGTTGATTGCTACTAAGGCCCCCAGAGATGAGTGGTGAGGCTTGCATTTTAATCCTATATATTTTTGTTATAACATAGGAAGGAGAATTGGCCCTAAATCATGGTAATGGTAAAGTAGCAGAGAGTAGAAGCTATGACTCATAGTTCATTTGCTGAACCTCTGAAACAACATTTCATCAGGTAAACCAGGAAAACGACTTTTATTGGAAAGTCAAATAGAACACCAAGTTGGTTTTATATCATTTTTATACATCATATTTTATGGTATGAGGTCACAGTGCTTATTTGCTTTCAAATACCATAAACCATGTCATGTTAATTATAGTCAGTTTTGAGGTTATTTTTTTTTTTTTGCCTATGTATACATACATACCAAGTATGATGTGTTGAGAGGCAGATGACAGATATCCAGGGCAGCTGTGTGAGCTAATGCATTGGCAAAGCTGATGGTCGCCAGTCACCTTTTCTGACTTTGAATAAAGGCCTATGATGGCTCCTAAGTGGCCTGAACTTTACTTTTGTGTTCTGGTGGTATGTGATGTGCGGACAACTCAACCTGTTTTACTGTGGAGAGCCATTCTTGCTTTTCACTCTCTGCAGAATGATGGGAATTTTTTGTTTGTTTGTTTTTTTGTTTTGTTTTTTTCAGTTTGAATTTGGAACAGATAATTTTGTATATATGATGTTATCCTCCTTCTATATTACATTCTATGGCTAAGAAAGCATGTTTGTATTCAAAGGTTATTAATTCATAGATCTTTGTATTAACTAATCATTTCTGTTCATGAGCTGTTTGGGGTTAAGAAACTTCAGTAAAATTATATATAATTTAGTGTTTTTTGCACACCAATGGATAACATCCAAATTGTTATGGTTCCATGTATCCTTCATTAATACTTTATAAATTCTTTGAGTATTCCTTGTCATGGGGATTGAGTGGCTGTGGAGACCTATTCTTCTTCTTCTAAGCATTTAGTTCCTGTCATTACCAGCTGAATTTATAGAAGCCTGCTATCATTTAGTATCTCAGTTTAGTAAGTTTACCTGTCAAATTTGACCTGAGATAAAAATGAATTCCATATGGGGAAAGGAAGGCCCAACACATGAGTAGGAAATGGAGAAACTAGGAATCTAAATATATGCTAAGATCTAGTTCCACCCATCCTACATGTTCTAACCTCACAGTGGAACTTAGTACACAAATTTTGTGGAGAATGACTATATAGCATTGCTCTAAGAACAGAAGTAAAGGGGATCCAAATCAAGAAGTGCTTTGAGAAACTTCAGATTCCCAATGAATGGTTAAAACTGTGGTCAAGGCTTTAGAACTCTATAGAACGCAAGTTTCACGTTTTTTATCTCCTTCCATGGGCACTGGGGCAAGGCACTTAAACTCACTGAGAAAATTTCTCCTCTGTTTACTGTTCCTTGGATCATCCATATGTTTCCTTCCAACTCTCAGGATTCTCTGGTTCTATTATATTACTACAGGTCCTGAAAATGACACAGCCAGATGAGACCTCATTTAATGTTATTAGGCCTCATGGGAGCAGAGGAGAAAACCCTTAATTATTCCCTGAACAAATTATGTCCTTGGAGGCTCCTGTGGCTATTATATTCCAACAATAACAACAACAACAGCAATAACAACAACAACAACCACCACCCTCCAATAGTTTAAGGATGAGTCTTCAAGTTGCCATTAATAATACTGGTATTTCTCAAGTGATAGTTCTCTCCCCATTTTAATGTTTTTGTCTTTCATTCTTATATTTCTAACATCTATTAATTTCTTAATTATTTTTCAAATATTTCTTACTTGGGGCCTAAGTATATTTTAGTATATAACATGTATATATGTGAAGTTAACACTTAAATATTCACTAACTTATTATTTTACATGACAAATATTTATTTATTCAATCAACAGATATTTACTGGGCATCTCATCTTTGTTGGGTAACCTACCAAATTCTAGGATTACAATCATGAAACATAAGCTTGGCTGTTGCCCAAATGACACTTATAGTTAATAGGATTATAGTACTCCATGTGTTGTTTTAATTTTGAGATGAATTTGAAAAGACTGTTAAATAATTAAGTTGCTTTTTATATATTTGTAATTTTTTCATTTTTTTTCAATGGTGAATAAGTAAGAATTGATGTGAAAAAATGGTCCCTATACTTCCCTGCACACCCTGGGTATCTAGAGTATGCCATTGAATATTGAGTCCTTTACAGTGTGTTTTTGTTGGGAAGGTTTCTTTCCACATATCACTATATACTTTTCCTTTGGAGGAAAAAACCTGAAAATTATAGGACTCATCAGAAACCCTAGCATGTTCACTTGTGTTGCAAAATCCCAATAAATACAGTATACAGACTACAACCTTTTAAAATATAAAATTACAGAGTTTTTTTTTGTTGTTGTTGTTTTGTTTTGTTTAATTGTAGAGTTTTGTATCCCAGCTTCTAATTCATTTTTGTTTTTACTGCTTTAATTACATTTAACTGAAATTGTTTGTTGGGTTACAGACCAAGCTTGTGGTCTCTTAGCTTTCTTTTCACTTGCTGGCAGTGGCTTGTAAGGGAGACTTAAGACAACCATGTTAAAAACATTTTAAAAAATGGTGTCAGAGGAATAAGAAAAATGCTTTTTTTCTGGTTCATCACTTCTAGTGCTCAGTCATTCCTCTTGCATTCCTCTGTACCCCCCACAGGCAGATTTGGCAATGACCTCTGTGGCTGCAGCTTCAGAAGAAAGCAAAATGATGTACTTTGGTCTTGGTGTCAGTTGGGAACCAAAAGAATTTGGTAAATTTTTAAGCCTATTTTTAAGCCATTTGCCCTTCCCCCCCTTGGCTTTCTTTTTTTCTTTCCAGTATGTCTTCTTATTTCACAATATTCCAAACTTCATATAATACGTTTAAAATCTAAAAGTATATTCTGTGTTTTTCTCAGCATGTAACAATGAGCTTTAATTAACCTGCCATTAGCTTATGTAATTTTTTTTCTCCTTATTTCTAAAAAATTAGAAATAAGGATAAAAAAAAAGAATTGAGAAGATTAAGGTTTCTGTTGAAATGGAGCAAATTTGCTAGTCAAAAATCACACATATACACACAATTAGTTAACTAGTATAATATCTTAATTTCTCTTTCTTTTTTCTTGTCCTCTCTTTCAGTCCTCCTTATGGCCTACTTAGCCATATTTTCATTTTAAGTTTTTTTTCACCTATTGTAAGGTCTGTATGGCAACAAACTAAGAAGTTACTTTGTCTTTTACATGTGTATTATCAAAATACAAGTGAAATGGTTGTAACTATCCAGATGTTTTTATGCATTTTAAAATTCTTTTTTCATTTTGAATATGTGGAAACATTAAAATACTTACAATATTGTTCAGGTAATTTATATCAAGAGAGAGGAATATATTCCTGACCAAGATGGGAAATTGCTATGTATTTCCGTAGGCTCTGTATTCTTTATTTTCTTAATATAGAAAAAAAAAAAAAGCTCTGTTCCTCACCAATGGCAAAAACATCTAAAATCACCAAGTACTCACTAATCCCCCTGCCTAGCCACATATTTCCTTTTATGCTCTTCCAATTGTATTTCTGATTCTCCATTGTTCCTCCACTATTTCTCTTCAGAGTTGCACTCTTGGAAGGCAGATTTGTTTAACATGCTCTGCTGTGATGGGATTTAAACATGCTTAAAGGGAAATATGGAATTCAGTTATTAATAAGAATTTTTCTCTCCTTTGATGCTCATCTCTGGTCATATTGGTAACAAATGTTCTCCTTTAGGTCTTTGTAGAATTTTAAAACATTTTTTGGGAAAATATTAGCATATATTTTAAACACTTCTTATGAATCAATCTTATTGAGGACTGAAAAAAGGATGAAGGATCAAGAGTATTATTTCCAGATTCTGTGATTTGCATGTTTAAGCTCAAGGGAACCTTTTCTTTTTACTAGCTTTTTTTTTTTTTTAATTCACTATAGAACATTTTTCCTACCATAGATGCAAAACACCTACAAATAAATGAAATTTTTGCAACTCTCTGCTATTCCCCTTAGTGTGGAAATATTCCAGTTTTGGCTTCAATAAAACCATATCTTCTTTTGCTCTAACAGTGCTTGCTAATAATATAAAGACAAAACCAATAGTGGATATTTGTCTTTTCCCTCTTCCTTGTTTGAAAAATTTCTAACTTAGTTACTTTTAGCAGGATTCAGAACTTGCCTCTCATCATAGAGTCTAGGATGCTCCATTATTCAGTTTCCTATTGCCTTTGGCACAGGGCATGTGCTGAACCCAGCCGATCAGGTATGCCCACTCTAAACTCAAGGAGAAGCAGGTAGAATGGAGAACCCACTCAGTGTCCCAGTGATGACAAGAACATTTCTTTACATCACAGCAGTGATGACAGTTTCAGCAGTTACCCTGTCTTATTGACGTATTGTTGGTGCAGTTAACTCTGCCAGCTAGCTGAGTGGTCCAGCAGAAGCAACAGCCTTGAATTTTTGGCATAGTTTTTGTTGTGATTAGGTAGACTCCTGTTTGCTCCTGGTTGTTTTCAAATACCTTTTTCTACCCTTCTCAAAGATTGTGGGAATATCCAACATTGTTTCAATTCCATTTCTGCTTAAAGTGGCCAGTGTCCATTTTGTTGTTTATTCTTTGCACCTTAGAATTCTGATTGATATGGAATTTGACACCGTAAATAGAATTGCAGAGAAATGGAACCAGAAAAGTGGGATTGGTTGTCTAGCTTAGTTACAGCTGAAAGTAGTGAAAAATCCAGCTGTGCAAGGGATGAGTTTCTGGCATACCATGACATTAGGTGGCAAATCAGCAAATAAATCATCTGTGAACTTCTAGAATGAAGTGCTCATTGAAGGGAAGGCTTTTAGGAATCATTCAGGGCTTCCATAAAACAATCATGAAGGGATGAGGATGTGAAGCACTGGAGTGACATGGTGGCTGCTTCTCACAGTACCAGATGGCTGTAAAAAAGGAAATATAAACTCAAATAACTAAAAATTTCTATCTAAGCATGAATTGAAAAATAGAGACTTTCTATGACTGCATAAAAAGAATCTTTTGTATAATTTAGGATAGAAAAGGCTGCCAAGTGCAGTTATGCATGTTGCCAAATTATGGTGTCAGTAAGATTCATATCAGGTCCCTTATGTTCAAGTTTGTGCACTTAGAAAAATAATTGAGCCTGAAAACTAGAATGAGGGGTTATGGTAGGATTTGGTGAACCCAAAATATCCCAGAGTCCATCAAGTTACCCTTGCCAGCAGAAGCAGCACTTGCCCCTCTTTGATGAAATTACTCCTGTCTTGATGGAAATTTCTATTTCTTGGTAGAGTTGCATCATTAAAGTCCATTCTCTTTATGCTTCTTATGCTCCATTTCCAGATATATAACTAAACTTAGATTCCAGCATGCTTTGAAATGACAGAGTCAAAGCTAGGAGGAGATATCATATGTTGATAAAAAGTTGCAAGACTTTGCCAATTAATATTGACCAAAAAATAGGGAATATGTGTGAGAATGGAATTTGAAGGTTCTGGGTCAAGTAAAGAAAAAACACAATTTTATATGGATTGAATTTATTGTTATGGAGTACTTAACTGGATGTTCTGTGTTCAATATACTAGCACAAATAGATGGCATGGATTCTAATTGTTTGTTTGATTTAACCAAAATTTGAATCATCCCCCAAATGAGATACTAAATATACCTTTGCATATTATAGGAACAAAGAATCTAAACATTAAGGATAAGAATATTGCAAGGATATATTATGGGTATAGAGAGCCATATTTCATCTGTATGCCTTGAGTGGGTTCTGATAGAGATTCACTAAAACAAAAACTTGAAAGATTAAGTTATGAGAGGCCATTAGCATTCTTTGAGGGATGAAAGAACTGTTCTTCACTAGCCAATGATGCTGATGTTAGATGCTACAGTTGAAATGAAGCTCCTTGATGTTATTTGGCATTTTAGGAGGATGGGATAATGAAATTTAAGTAACAGCACCTTTCTCTCAGAAGACTGGGTGGCATAGCTGCCATAATAGGCAGAAGGATGGATGTTTTAGTGGGAACAACCAGCAGGGATCCTTGGAAATGGCTCCCAATAATGGGATCTCTGTGACTGAAACAGGTAGGCACTATTTCATTTTTATTAAAAAAAAAATTCCAAACCAAACAAAACTCAAAAACCAAAAACCCAAACCAACTCTGTCTTGATGGAAACTCATTGCAGTGCCAATGGGTTACTCTGTTGTTAAGAGTTTAAGAGTAGGGCTGGGGATGTAGCTCAGCTGGTAGAGTGCTTGCCTTGCATGCACAAGGCCCTGGTTTTAAATCCCCAGGATTTAAAAAAAAAAGTTTAATAAGAGTTTTCATCTCTTGTGTAGTCTATATGACAACAAACTAGTGTTAATTGAAGATGCTGCATCCAGCATCTAACCTTTTGATATCTATAACTTAAATATGAAATGTTGTGTTAAAATAGATTGGAATGACAGTGACAATGTTTTTAGTTTTGAAACAGAATATTATTTGAATTCATATATTTTTAAAATTATAAGTATATTTAAAGATGTTTCCACTTTACTGGTTTCACAGTTATATATTCCTCATTTTAATATACTAAGTTAGTTATACTATAGCAATACATTATGGATTAATAGACTCATGGCAATCTATAAATGCAAAATTTTCAGGTTAGTCATGAAAAAAATCTCTTGGATTAATTAATTAACTAGAAAATTCAGTTCAAAAATGCATTTTTATAATTTCGAAAACTAGATTAAGTTAATCAATTGTCATGACATTTTAAAAGGATAGCCTATGTGGGGAAGATTTTGGACATTAAAAATGGCAATTATAGTACAGGAGTTTACATCCAGCAAATGGAAGCATATATCTGAGTCTATTTCAGTTTTCATTTGTGCTTTTGATTTAAGCTATCACCCTTAAGTTAATTTTTATTACCTGATTTTGGGAAAATTGTGTTTCTACTCCATATACTTGAGGTTAAAACATTAATTTGAAATTTGATTAAAAGTAAACAAAGCCTGTTCATTATTTTGTTGGACTTGTAGAGACAGTTGTTTTCTGTATTACCCAATCAAAAATTACAAAGATTTGAAGCTCAATCTCCCTTTTCTCAGCCAGTATATTTTGGCATATTCAATTATGTAATGTTTCCAATAACTACTGTATTAAATATCTGTTGCACTTGTCTGTCTTTGTGCAATCCCTAAGTGTACAATATACACTTATATTAAATACGTGACTCAACCCCTGTCTTGTGCACAGGCCTGAGCTCATCCTGGCTCATCATGGAAATCAAAAGAAAAAACATTAACATGACATGATTAAAAAATGTTTATATGAAAGGTACAGATCCTATTTTTTATTTGAAGTCTTTATTTACTAATAAAGAATCTTTTAAGAAGACCTTTATCCTATAAATTCTTATGAAAAGAAATGGTTTTCTTCAATGTTTGGCTTTCTGTATAAATATGCAGCAGGTTTCCACAATTAAACCTAACCACAGTAAAAAAAACTGAATATTATTCTGTTTTCATAGTAGACCAGATTAAACCTTTGTTCCTGACTTGTAGTGAATATCACAGTGATAGGTCCATAATTCAATTGGCCTTGGGATTTTTGTAAATCCAAAGGATTTTTTTCCTTGGACAGTTGGCATGGAGTTTGCAGAGGTGTCTTTTTAACATCACCTTATCCTGAGGTGGGTTGAGTCATTGCCTGTAGAAAGTGACAT